GAGGAAAAAAAAAAATCCAGACAGAGCAAGAGTCTATCCCCCTGTTTTGAGTTCTCTAGGTATGATGGAGGTTAGGTGGGCTGTGTGCCGCATTCCTCTTTGCTAGCGCCATGCCATGCCCAGCATAATTTTAATGTGTCTCTTTCAACAATCTGACGGAGTCTGAAGAACGAGCGAGGAGACTGTCTCTCTGCTTCTCATGCTGTTTTTTCATTCACTGCATGGGATGCTCCATATTCCATCTGCTTTGGGGTAGAATTAAAGTCTTGCAAATGAGAAAGGAAGGGGATTGTAGTGGATGGTAGAGAAATTGAGTAGTAGCCACCATAACAGTGTTCTTCAAGTGATAGTTCTAAGGGAACTTGAGGTTCTTCAACTGAGAGATCAGGTGGCCTTGATGTGTTGGGCTACAACTTAGTATATTCTGAAGGATTATATCCCTTTCCCATCTTAGCTTTTCTGGCCAGTGTTGGGCAAAATTGGGCTAGAGCCGCTTAACAACCTAAAGGATCAAGATTTCTCTGGATTATCATCATTGTAGGCTACCATATTTGTGTGAGTGAACCAAGTTTCCAAAGCTTATTGCTTGTCCTTTTCATCCTGTTGAAAAACCCTCCTGAGACACATTTCGCTTCATTTCCATCTCAGCATTTGCATACTGTGTTTTTAAGTCTTCAAATGGAAGTGATATCTCAGTTTCCCTTGTGTGCTGAGCAGTTCAAGAGGCTATCCCATACCTGTAGAATTGTGTTGTCCCCTTCTGCCATCCTGACTGCTTCCTTTACTGGCCTGGGTATACCATTAAAATGTTTCCTTATTGGAAGGCACGGTATTGTGGCTGGGAAAACCTAAGGATGCAATGACTTGGTACTTGTTTATTTGTATTTTTTGGAGTTTGGCAATAAAGATGAACTGATTTATCTGGCCTTCTGCCAGGAGCAAGAAAGGAACAGAACATTTAGGTTGGCATCTCTTAAAAATTATTGTGAAAAGCTTGTGGCTTGCATATTTCAAACTATCTACAGCTAATTTTTCAGGCACGTTGAAATACTGTGGCCCATTATGTTTTCTTTAAAAAGAAGAGATGTCGATGGTTTCATCCAGCAAGGGCCTTTTAAAGCAAAGCTGCGTACTTCGTTAAAGTATGAATTAGTTATATTGTTCATCCTCATCCAGTAGTGTTTCAAATAAGAGTCAGTTTGGCCTAGTGGTGAAGGCACCAGGCAAGAAACCAGGAAGCTGTGAGTTCTAGTCCTGCCTTGGGCATGAAAGCTGGCGGGGTGACTTTGGGCCAGTCCCTCTCTCTCAGCCCAGCCTACCTCACAGGGTTGTTGTGGTGGGGAAAATAGGAAGAGGAAGGAGTATGAGGTATGTTCATCACCTTGAGTTATTTATAAAAATAATAAAGGTGGATAAAAAAATCTAAAAGTGTTGGAATACAATTTCCATTGCCTGCTCACTAGCTATTAGGGAGGGAGAATGTTACGGTCCAGTATATTTGGAAAACAGAAGTTGGGGGAAATTGGCTTTTGTCTTAATAGTTATAGGATCCTTAGAAGGTGTTCTTGCTTTAAACAGTTGGCAATTCTTAGAATTTTGCCACTGGTCTTCTTGCTCCTCATGATTGAATTTATTCCACTATTAGAATAAGCCATGGATAATGTTTGATGTAGAAAGCAGGGACTGACTGCTTGCTCCTACTTCACTTGGTGTTTTTAGGAATTGGCTTTGCATGATGTGCATCTTGAAGGGACTGATAGTCCTACCTGTGTAAGTTGCTCTGGTGCCCCTTAGTTAGTTATCTCCCAGCTGCGTCTCTGAAGTGACTGTAAAGCCAGAACGTAATTTCTGTTCATGGTTAAGGGCAAAATCCAAATACAGGTAGTCCTCACTTAACAACCACGATAGGAACTATAAAAATGGTTGTTAAGCAGGGCAGTTGTTAAATGAGTCACTCCTGATTTTACAATCTTTTTTGCAGTGGTCATTAAGCGAATCACCACGGCTATTAATCGAATCACGCAGTCATTAAGTGAATCACATGGTTCCCCATTGATTTTGCTTCCCGGAAGCTGGCTGGGAGGGTCACAAATGGCAATCACGTGATCCTGGGACGCTGCAACTGTCATAAGCGCGAGCTGGTTGCCAAGTGCCCAGATCGTGATCACGTTACTGCGGGGGTGCTTCGACGGTTGTAAGTGTGAGGACTCATTGTAAGTCCCTTTGTTCAGCACTGTTGTAACTTTGAACGGTCACTAAATGAATGGTTGTTAAGTGTGGACTACCTGTAACCAGTCTGGAAACCTTTTCAACTTCAGTAGAATTAACAGAAGCTGCTTGCCCACACTTCCTTGAAACCATAATGGAAGAAGAGAAGGAACCTCACTTAAGCAGGGTTACTTTCATTGCACTCCATTGTGACCGAGGCTTGCATTTAATACAGCCAATAGAGTGCAAAGTGTATTTCCCATAGCCAAGGAAGAGCCAGGGTGGAGGTGTTAACCTGGTTTATCAGTCATAATTTTGGGAAGGTCCGTGATGGGCCTGCTAGGCGTCCGATTGACAGTCGGCCTCAATTGCTTTGGAGCAGGCTGGCTGAGATAGGAGTTCAAAGGAAAAACCAGTTACGTTTGCTGGATCTCCAACAGGCTGAGTAATGGGGCACAGCCTGCTTCCCAAAGCAGGGAAAACAGACAGATGGCTGGCTCTTTGGGCGCTTAGCACCTCGTACCTCCGGTGGCCACCGCTGTTTCATGTTTTCCACCTGCTTCTCTGGGCGGTGGGAGAATTTGCATAAGGCTGCTCCCAGCCTGTTGAGGCACCGTTGCTGGTAAACACGCGGCCAGCCTGCGTCAGCTCTTCTGATCTCTGCCCCAATTTCTCAATAGCTAGCAGGATGACCCAGCTCCGTCAGGATTTGGGAGAAGGAGGGAGAGGGGGAAGAGGCTGTTCCAGGTCTCACCCTGCCTCTGCCTCTCGTCCCCTAAATTGTGCAGCGCGTTTGGCGTTATCCCTCTGGTCTCTTCCAGCTGTGAATTGATATTCTCCCGTCTGGCTTTCTCCATGTTCCCTCTATCTGTTCAAGTTACCTTAATTGATGTTGGCCTGCCTCCCAGAATTGAGCTGCCAATGAATGCCTGCGTGTGCATGCGTGTCTGAAAAGGCCAGGGTGTGACTTTTAAACTGTGTTGCTTCTGCCCGGGTGGATGGAGAAACCTTTTGCCTTGGCTGGGTGATTCCCCCGTATTTCTCTTCTTCCTTCTCCCCTATCCAGCCCTCATTGATATGCACAGCCTGAAGTTTGTATGTAACTGCTACGTTCCTTGTTGCAACTGGAAGTCTCCATACCCCGAGTTTTAAACGTTAGGTGCCAGATTCCCTCCCTTTGAGATTTCAAGCCAATGGAGTGTTTTTTGGCTGGCGACGTAGCAAATTCCAGCTTACTATGTGTCCTGGAAGGGCTGTAACTCCTGGAGTGGGAGGACTGCATTTGATTTTTCAGTTTTCACGCCCTGTTTTCCAGAGAAGTCGCTGTATTTGTGGGTTTTCATCAAACGCAAACAAAACTCTTTGCTTGAATGTTTTCCCATCTTGCTAGTGAGTCCTGGGCATTGGGGTTCATCTTCTCCCATGCTTCAAAGATCTGTCCCTCGGGAACATCCTGATCATTAGAACAACCCAGGCCGGGGTGAGTGAGCCACCAGGAAACCTAAAAGCATTGTGCTGTGGGGGTGCATTTATGCACAGCAATGTATGAACATACCTCCGGTGCAACATTTCACCAAGTGTGGCTGTGGGGCAAAAAGAGGGCTGTGCAACTTTACTAACTACTTACTGTAAAAATCGCCTCACCATTCTGAATCCGCTCCAAATTGTGAGCTCTTTTCTTGCCAAGAACCGACAAGTGATGATGGCTGCTTTTGCTGCGTCACATTCTTCTCCTTGCCGGCGAGTTGTTTGGGAAATTCAGCCTCTGCAGGACTTGGATTGTTCTTTTAGTGCTAAGTGAGGGCTTGGTCTTACATAATCTTGTTTTCTCCCTTTCCAGCCTGCTTTCGCAAAGCGTAAGCAAGATTTGCAATGTAACTTAGATAATGATTTGGTTACTTTTTCCCTACGCCCCTTGATTGCCACTTAGCAGAAGGGTGGTTTAGGGGTATTGATGAACAGCTGCTTCTGGTTACATCTGGGGTTTGAGAGGGGCTGTGGAGCATATAATGTGGGTGGCTTGGCTCCTTTGATTAAAATTGTGGGGCTTTAAAAAATGTTGACTGTTCTTTTGGCCTCCACCTTAAATGGGGCTCCTATTTGTTTTCCAAATGAGAGACTTAATTTTTATAATTTAAGTAAGGAAGCACCACTTGATGATGTGAGTAGACATGGAGATGTTTTATCTTCCTCTTAGGAGTCTCCAGTGAAAGTGCTTCACTTTGGAATGGAGCTTCAGCTTCTTTTGGAAGTTCAAGATTTTGAAACAGAGACAGCAGTGCACGTGTTTCTGAAATGTCCTCTCTCTTTTGGAGAGCAGTGTTAATCTCCCCCCTAATTACAAGCTATTCAGACCTCTCTCATAAATAACCAGGATTTGAAGTGCCTAGAATTGTAATCAAATTTTCTACCATTGCTATGGCCATTAGAAATTTCTGGGCCTGCTTGTTTCCTGAGATGTATCTTGGGCAGGCGTGAATAGGTAGGGTAATGTAATTTTGAATTTCTCTGAGATTGGTCTAGGACCGTATATTTTAATAAACTAAACTCACTTTGAAATGAGAACATCACAGATTTGGAAGCTGGGGCTGAGGCCATCTAATCCAGTACCCTGTGTAGTGCAGGAATCCAGATTAAAATATCCCAGGCAGGTGGGTGTCTAGCTTTCCCATGAGCACATTCCGTAAAGGGGAGACCACCATCCCTCTGAGACACAGGGTCCATGGTTAAACTGCTAAAACCACTGAGAAGCTTTTCCTAACCTTTAACCTTTAGCCTGCCTGTCATTTCAGATCATTATTCTATGCCCTGACTTCTGGGAAGATAGAGAACAAATGAAACTTTCTGTTGGAGACATCCCTGTCAGGTACTTGGAAGGTATATGATAGCCCCCCTCAATCTGATAGTCCCCCTCAAGGCTAAACTTGCCCCCATTCCTCAGTCTTTCCTCAAGGTAAGTCTGATCAATGCACAGTATTTACTTCTGATCATTTGAAAACGTCTTGCATCGGCGCAGCCTAAAAATGCATTTCCCTTTTTAGCAGCTGTGTCACACAGATGACTCACATTCATCTTCTGATGGTGTTATCTTAGTTCACATTTAGTCTTCAGAAGATGTTTCTGAGTATGGGGGAGTGTCAAAGTAGTGCATCTCTGCAGTGCTGTAGGCCAGCTGTGTCTTTTCCTAGGACAGTGTCCGTGTCCTCCTCTGCTCCTGTATGATCCTGGGAAAAGATGCAGCTGCTTTAAATCATCACAGTGAGGGGTTGCGTTGGCCTTCTTGCCTGCTCTGAAGCAACTTCAGAGATAGAATCCAAAACTGCACATCCTTGTTTTCCATATATCTGAGAAAATTAAGTGTTCTAATGAATGCATGCGCTTGAAAGTATCTTTTTGTACCTTCGTTAGCTTTGTTGTAGGCTCCCCTCCCTCTCTCACTCTTTCCTGCCTGTCCCCTTTCCTGTTACAGCCTGTTTCAAGATGTTCAAGTTTTTCCTTTTCTTGCTTAGAATAGTTCCATGATCACTTGAGATACCAACCCATCTCTCCAGGGTCACTGATTGGTCCCACTAGCATGTGACAAACAAATGGAGCTGGCTCTTCACAAGTAGGCTTAATAAAGGAGGTCTTGTCAGGTCTTTCCAATACTCAGTATTTAGCTTAAGTCAACTTAGCGCAGAATGGAGATGAGCGGGAATGGTTTCTTAAATAATTTAATCAGTTTGATTAAATCAGTTTGGTTTTCAGGGGCCCAGTTGAGGCATGTGCGCTGCAGCTTTCTGAACCTTTAGAAGAGGTCTGGGGTCACTTGGAGTTGGGATGGCCGGGCCGGGCCATAGGAATGAAATTAAACTTCCTTTTGTGGTACTGGGGGTGGAGTCATGGATCTGAAAAATATACGACCCCACCTTCTCTTCTACATCAGAATCTTGCATCTTTTTGATAGGCTGCTTAGATTTCATTGTTCAAAAACAACCCCATTCTTTATACTCCTCTCCCCCTCCCCCAAAAGCTGTGACCAGTTTGGGCTATCAGACTGGCAGCCATGAAAAAAGCAGCCAGCCTGGGTTTAATCAGGGCTACTTTTGATCATATCTCATCTCTTTCCTCCTTCAAGTCTGTGGTTTATCAGGAAGTGATATGGCTTGCTCTCATTTAGACGATGCTACTGGCTTTTCGGTTGATTTTTTCCCAGAAACCTTCTCTGGAAATTCAGACCTTATACTAGAAGACAAACAACATTTGATTTGCTTATTACGGTAACTTCCTAAGTCTGTAAATAGGAAGTCCTCTTGTTGGGCCCTGAGGAATTCTGTGAACTAAAGAATTTGCTTATTTTGGATAGCTGCTTTTGTCCTGAAATGTCAGTTGTGCAACCAAATACCTTTGTCTTTGTCTGGTTCTGAAAGAGGGGAGTTGTTTATTGATTAATTGATTGATTGTCACTCTTCTGTCCTGCTTTTCCTTCAGGATTGCATACAGAGCAGTCCATTTCTCATTCCAACTATCCTTTGAGGTTGGTTGGGCTGAGAGAGATTAATTGTCCTTCGATCACTTAGTAAGCCTTGAACCTGAAGATGGCCGGCCCTGAACCTGGATCTCCCAGATCCTAATCCAGTACCTTAACCACTAGATTACACTGGCTTTCTCACTGAGGAGGGAATGCAGACATCTGGGGCATGTCAGGAGCCCTGCTCAGAAATGTCTGATTCTGATGGGGAACTTTTGCAATTCTTCATCTGAAACTATAGTACACAAACTGAGTTTGTTTGGCAACTCTGTTTAGCAGAGGTTCTCAGGATATCATTTTTTCATCCTTTGCAGAGTGCCTCTTGCAAAGCTGAGCTTCAGGTTCTCAAGCAAATCTCGTGCATATCTACCCCAAAGGAAAACCAGCACAGTCGCTCAGATCTTGCCTAAACGTCTTTCTTTGTGACTTGTGAGTTTTTAAGATTTAATTGATTAGTTTTCAGGAGAGTTGGCTTGTTGCAGAAGCCAGCTCATCACCATATTTGTTGATCAGCATGAGAGATACTCACGTTTGAGTATGTTTCAGATTGAGAATGTATGTCTTCTCATACAGGTTCAAGCCTGGATTTTTATGCTTCTTTCATCTGTTAGTGCTCGATGCTATTTGTCTAATCTAATCTAAGTCAGGATGTACAGTGAAAGCATAGCTTCATGGATCTCATGCTCTCTTGAATTTCTGTGCAGTTCAAACCATGGAAGATGAAACATGAGGATTGAAAACCCAAAACAAAAATGTGAATGTTCAGTGCTGAACTCATAGAAGAGTGCAATATAGAAGACTGAACAGCTACCCCCAACCTGATGCCCTCAAATCTTAAGTTTATAACTTGCATAATCCATGATCATTACCATCTTGGCTAGAGGGTGAGGGAAATTAGACCTAAAGACATCTGGGTGACATCTGGACTTCAGGGATAGTAACAGCTGTAGGCTGTGTACTGTTTACACATTTAAGGCCAAGTTGGTTGTAGCATCCAAGTTAAGATGTTGGGTTAGAACTGAGCAGATGCAGATTCAGGCCCACCCTCTGCCCTTTGGGGCAGTTGTGCTCTATCTGTGCTCAACCAACCTCTCTGGGTATTGTGGGGAAAGATAGGAGGAGGAAGGTCTGTGTGTGCTACCATAGCTATGGAAGAAATGTGGGATGGAAATCTAATGAACCAAATTATGTAGGTGCCTGACTCACTGCTCCCATGTTTTTGAGTGCAAGGGTGGATTTGACATAGAAGCTTTACATATTTGGTTAAGCTGAAGATTTTTTAAAAATCCTAGACTCTGTAAATAAATGCAGCACGATGAGAATGGTACAGGTGTTATGGAAAGCAGTGTTTGATTTTATTTCACTCATATGCCACGTACCTGTTATTTAGATTTTCCCGCAGGTAGTTCTTTGCCACTGTTCTGAGCTTGTAAAAAGCCTCTTGACTCGTACAGTCGGAACGTCAATGATGTATCAACCATGGATGAGTCAGTAGCTCTCTGTATCTTATGGCCTGCTTGATTCCATGGTATTCTTTATTTGCCCCCTTGCCAATTATTATCCCCAAATGCATTTGCTACTAGGTAAGCTTTAACAGCAAGGCAGACGTCATGGAGAAGGGTGGAAGGGGAGAAAATATGCTTTTCTTCTTCTGTATGTCTGTAGATAATGCCAATTCCTGGTTGTTGGCATATTAATAGGGGTGTTTCCTTTTCCCTTTGCCTCCTGATGAAACTCGGAGTTTTCACTGGCAGCTTCTTTGGCTCTTCTTCGCTGGCTGACCATACTGGTGAGAGTCCTGCCTCTCAGCTTTTGGTAATTAGCTGGTCTTGCTAATGGGAAGTTAACAGGAAGAAGGTTTTGCTTCTACTTTGTCCATCCAATCCAGCTTTCCCCAGTCTGCTGCTCTCCAGATACTAGCTGGGTTAGTGGGGGAGAAGTCTGTTGGGATTGCAAATTCTGGGATCTGCCAAAACCCCGAGCATGTCTGCTTGGGCACTCTCCAACACAGAGATGTTGGGCTCAACGAGTCTTCTCTGACCCTGTGCCCTGTTTGGACTGCAAATCCCAAAATTCCCCAGGTTGGATTCTGGCAAGCAGAGATATATGTTGATGCTGTTCGTTACTCACCGGTATTGCAATGTCTGAGCAAATGGATTGTTTTGGAAACTTTTCCCTAGGCACAGTTCTGTCTTTTGCAATTAAATAAATAAATAAAATCGAGGTGCTTCCAGACCCTCTCCCAGGATTTGCTTGTTTCTTTTTCTTTCCTTCCCTCCTCACTGGCTTCTTTGCTTCTCTTCGTAGCAGACAGGTGGCTTATATGGAGCTTTCTTCCCAATGGAGTGCAAACCTGACCAGGAGCAATTGTATCTGCTTAAGTGTCTTCCAACTGATGTTTCATCCATTCCCTCATCCAACAGGGCTAACTCTTTCGGCCAAGGGTTCTTCAGGGTCCTAACCAAGTGACAGCACCTAGCCAACCTCGGTCAATGCTTGGGTGAGGGATCACTAGAAGATCCTAGAGTTGTAGGCTAGACTGGGAAGGTGGAAAAAAAGAAGGCAGTGGCAGTCGCTTCTGTACTGTTACTAAGAAGACCAAGGAATGAAGTTCTTAGTTCTCCAAGGAAAGGACAACCGTACTCATCCTGTGATATGATCTCTGTTCGTTCTCATTTGTATTCTCTCTCACCTTCTCCCTTGCTGCTTTAATGTGTCCCTTGGCATGATTTCTGCCCCCCTGAGGAAGTTGCTGGGTCTTGGGCCAAAGGGGTAGCTGAAAGGAAGGCAGGAACCCAAAATGCTACACTTGGGATCCTCTGGCTTCTCTTGGCATACTTGAAACCAATTTTGTTTTTTAAAAAAGGAAGCTGGCGTGCAGCCCATTAAAACACCAACATCCAAGATCATTTTTATTTTGAAGGCTGTTGTCCCTATGTAGGCATCTTCCAGGGCAATCTTAGAAAATAAAAATGTGGCCTGGTGCTTTGCTTAGAAATAAGTCCGCCTTCCAAAAATAACAGATTTGTTAATTATGGCATGTTATCTTGATTTGAATAATGATCCGAAGTTTTAAATTGACCTTTGATATTTTAATAAGTAGGGCCAAAGGAATGTTTGATTTCAGGTGATAATACTGATAAGCAAAAAAGCCAACAGGGAAGAGATTTTTCTTAATTTTCCTTCTGGTTTTCCTGTTGATTATGTTTTTACATATTTAATAAATAGAGTGGGGGGGTTTTTGAAAAAGAAATAAAGCAAAAGTCAGGTGGAGGCATGTAAATGAGCATTTTGGACAGCTAGAGAAAGTGACAAGAAGTGGCTCCATCAGTCCAATGATACTCAAACTTGGCAACTTTAAGTTGTGTGGACTTCAACTCCCAGAATTCCCCAGCCAGCATAGTAAAATCTTTCCGCTTCTAGTCCAAGGACTGGATCTAAACAAGTCAGCCAATTCATTAATAGGAACTTCCAACCCTAAACCCTGGGGGAATTGCAGAAAACATGCAGAAGAGATGCTTCAGTCATCAGCAAATGAGACCAAAAATGTCAGAAGGACTGTTGTATCTGCTCATCCCCGCCTTCCCCAAATCATCCAGGCTTCTGTGAACCTTCGATCTAGATCAGCTGCTGATGTCTGGATTACATTGAGAAGCTTGGCAAAAGCTCTGCCTAATCTCCCTTTTGGATAATGCAGAGCACCTGCACGGGCTTTTGTGAGAGGTGATCTCTAAAACTTCTGAAGTGTGAGATGTTTTGTTTTGTTTCCTGACACCGCTCATTAGTGTAGCACCAGCCTCGGTGGTTGGAATCAGATCTGACATGGTGAAATGAAAAACATAGGCAGATACAGAATTTAAAACAAAATGTGTACTGTATGTGTAAAAGAAATGCCTGCCTACCTGTACTCCCTCCCTCCCTCCCCTTCGAGCAGCACTCAAGCCAAAAGATGCTGCTTTTCCTAGCATCGTTATTATGGGATGTGCTTTGCACCCGCATAACTGAAATCCAGAAAGAGTGAAGTGGCTGGGCCAAAGCCGAAAGGACATTCACCTGTGGATGTATCTGGAAGTGAAAAGAAGGTCCAATGTTGTAAAGAACAATGTTGTATAGGTACCTGGAATGTAAGATCTATGAACCAAGGCAAGCTGGATGTGGTCAAACATGAGATGACAAGGTGAAGCTCAAGCTCAGATACTTTGGTCACCTAATGCGAAGAGAGGACTCTTTGGAAATGACCCTGATGCTGGGAAAGATTGAAGGCAAAAGGAAAAGGGGACAGCAGACA